AAAGCTCAGATTCTTAGCTGGGTTATAGGACTCCATCCAGGAACTTTCTTTTACAGTCTGGGAAAAATTTTCCCCTTGCCTTCTGGCACAATAACTCTTCTTATTTATTTTCAGTTTTCAAATTTCTCAACTCTCTTAGTTACCTTTTTGTGACCCATGGGACATATAATGCCCACCTACATTTTCTGTCTCTAGGGTGTAGTGGGAAGCTTATATCCCACGTTTAGTGCATGCTGCCATCTGGTGGGGAGCCTGTAATTGTATGCATCTGAAGAAATGGCCCTCAGCCCACCAACCCCAGGACCAAAGACCTCTCGGGAAATATGTGTCCCACTAATTGTGTCAAAATGCATATTACCTCAAAAAATTTTTAAATTTCATTCAAAATGCCTTCCATTACTGAAAACATAGGTTTCACCAAAAAATTCAAAGTGGGGAATAATTCAGTCTTGAAAGGATTAAACCATTTCTCCCCCAGCTCCCCCAGCCCAACACAGCCACCTTCATGCTGAGAAACGGTGATAGCAATTAAAATGTAATCCTCTCATCCAGTATTCATGGCTCCTTGTAATAAGGCCCAGTGCTTGTTCACATAGTAAAATGTGAACTATTAATTTTTTTCTTAATTGGAGTAAATCAAGCTCAGACACAGAAAGAAAAGAAAGTTATCTCCAAGTCAGACTTTCTATTTTCTCACTATGGGGTGATTTTCATAGAGTCAGGAGAAATAACTTTGTGTGGCTTCCTCTAGCTGTGTTTCGGTTTCCCAGGGTTTTGTAACTCTGCTACTTTAAAAATTGTTCTGTTTGGCTTAGCTGACATTTGATTAGCACTAAAGTTTGCCTGGTAGGCCACCAGGTGGAAATGGCTACAGACCAGGTCTCCTTGGCCTTGTTAACCTCCTGAGGTCCTGATAGCTCTCTGTAAGGAGTGGGATTGAGTAGTGGACTGTGTGACCCTTTGAATTCTAATTGAAAAATATATGTGATCGCATAACATTCTTTTTTTTCAGCTCCTGGAATGCCCCTCCCCACCAGGCCCCAAAAGCCCAGCTTGCTTTCGTTACAAGATCCTACTAGAACAAGTGTTGGCAAAGTTTAAATATTAGGTAATAAATATTAGGCTTTGCAGGGCATAAAGTCTCTGTTGTAACAAACGAGGTCTGCTGTTATAACATGAAAACAGCAATAGATAAAGCATAAACTAACAGATGTACCTGTGTTCCAATAACACTTTGTTCATTAACATTGAAATTTCATATAATTTTCACATCATGAAATGATATTCTTTAGACTTTTGATCTCCCAACCATTAAAATACGTAAAAACCAATCTTAGTTCATGGGTTGTACATATCTTCTAGAAGATATACCCAGCAGAGTGCCTTGCAAAAACCGTGGCTCATGACGTATTTTGTGATATGTTAGTAAGAAGTCATGTGAAAGTCACTGCCCTGGGCTTCCTAAACCCCTTGACTAGATCATTGCTATGGAGGGATAGCTTGGGCGTTTCCCATATCACCTGAAAACCCTGACTCCGGATGGAAATTTACTCTTCTGAGTCCAACTCACCAGCAGACGCTTTTTTTTTTTTTTTTTTTTGGCCAAGTCTTGCAACCAAGTGGAGTTTTCTGTATGTCTGCTCACTGTTTCCCACATAGGCCTAATGCTGACAGCAGAGGGCTTCAACCTAGAAGAGGACAACCCCACCTTCTCCTTCTATGACTACCTCAGTGCCTCAGAGCTCTGTCAAATGTTATGAGTCACACGCCTTGTTGCACAAGTAGAAATTCCCACAGCCCAACCATACCCTTCCATTGAGAGATTTGAGGTATGGGCTCTCAATGAGAATTTTTCTTTCACATTTTCAGCACAACCTTGTGGAAGAACACCAGACACACAATGACAGTATAGTATAGGAATCCTGCCACATAACAGACATCACAGAGAGTGTCTTTAATTTATTTAATTGTTCAAACAGGAGAGCACAAAGACAACAGTTTCAAGTACATTCCAATACACGTTTTTGACAGGAATAGATATCTATTTAGTCATATGAGGGAGGTAGCAGCCGCCACCACCACACATACATTTTACACTCTCTCTTGGCACCATAAACCCTGAAGAAAGATGGAAAAGTGAGGTTTTCTCCAGGTAGGAGTGGGCTGTAGCTGCTTGAGTCCCTGTGTTTGGTTCTCTACAAGGTGGTTTCCTTTCCTGAAGCCCTTTCCTTGCCCATGAGAAAAGAGAATTCTTAATATAAAGCTGTGGAGGGTTCTTTTAAAAAGAGGGAAAGAAAGGGTCAGGGAGCAAACTGAGAGAGTTTTGCCAACATGCCTGGTCAAGAGGGCATGCTGACTCCCGGGACTCACTGCCCACAAGTTGGGGATCTGAGCTCAGACATTCAGCCTGGACAGGGCTTTGCCTCCACATACCCTGCCAGCTGAGGAGAACTCTGCCACCGCCGTTGGTACCGTCTGCTTGCTACATGACTGGCTTCTCTCTTTAGACCAAGGAGGCCACCCTGCTGATCCATCAGACTTATTGGTTTGTCTAGTGTTTCTGATTTATTTTTGACTGACTTAAAATCACCACTGATGAATATCAAAGGCCTAGAAGCCACCAAATGCCGACAGAGATTGTAAACACCAGCCTTAAACATGCTACTCACCCAGAAAAGCAAAGACAAGACATTTTTACAGAGAAAAGTGGAGGATGACTCCTACCTAGAGGGCCTGACCCTAGGAAAGGCCTCTTCTTCTCTACCTACAAAGCACACAGAGGAGGGGCTAATGCCATCCAGCACTGTCCACCTGGGCAGGTGGTCTCCTGCAAAAGGCCACATGAGGCCAGATCCTTGGCACAGAAACCCCTCAGGGACCGTTGTTTCTTGCCCCTGAGGCTAGTCTTCAGAGCAGTTTCTCCAGACTCTACCTAACGTGGGGCTGAGCTCTGCCTGGAAAATTCAATCTTGCTCCCCTGGACAAGGACAGCCTCCAAGCAGACTTGAATCTGCATACAGGCTCCCAATGAAACAGCTTCCCACTGTTCCCAAGCCTAAGCTGCTAAAGGATTTCGGCCCCAAACACAAAAGTATGACAGTAATGTCCACAATAAGCCACAGAACTCGAATTGGTCCACCGTCCTTGCTCATTATGATAGCTGAGGACAAAAGATCCTCCACCTAAATCTGTAACAGAGCATCAGGCACGGAAGCAGACAGATAGCTCAGATTCTGGAAACCAGCATGGCCTGAGGCAGGAAAGGGTTAGGCCCCAGCACTTCTGAGACCTTAGCAGCCTGGACATAAGGTCAGGGAGAGGGGACTGGCAGTGACTGCATGAGACCAGGCAGAGAAATGCACACATGGACTCCAAAAGGAGCTTTTCTGTGGATTCCAGGGAATCCTCCATAAAAGAGAGTGGGAGATTCAGAGAAGATACAACACCCAACCCTCTTCTCTAGGGAGCCTTTCAAACAGGGTGGTGTGGAGCACCCCAGGGCAGTGCGACCAAGTGACTATGTGGCTCTCCACTGGCAAAGGGACAACAGTGCCTGATGATTACACACATGGGAGCAGAAGGAGAGAGTTCCTGGTGACTGCCCCTAGGTGATCTCTTCAGGCCCACAAAGTAGGCTTTGCAAGTTAAGGGATAGAGGTGGGGGGCACCACAGTGCCTACATACATCACACCCAATCTTTGGGAGTGTAGAAACAACTTCACAACATAAATACAAACTGAGCTGAGGTTTCTCTGATGATGAGAATAAACAAGTTAGTCTGTTCACCTACTTTGGTTACCTACTTACGTTTATCTGAATTCACAGTATAAGCAACACATCTAAATATAATATTGGGAACTCCTGTGAGCACGAGGTTTCCCAAACAAAGAAGCCAAATAAGAAGAAGAAAAAAAAAAAAAAAAAGGGCCGCAACAGGAATTCTTAGTTATTATATACTAACCAGTCTGTGCATGGCACATTTTATTTCTATAAAACTATTAAACTATTACAAAATATTCAAAAATACATTTTAGTAAATTTACAGCAGTTATTTCTCAATTTATTAATGCAAAAACATCCTATGTTTTTCTCTGTACAAACTACAGGCTCCATCCTTGCGGACTCATCACTATGTGCGCTTTTAAAAAATATTATTTTCTAATAAATTCTTTGAAGTTAAAAATAACAAAGTTTTTCCAGTTTGTCCAAAAGGAAAAAAAAGAGAGAGAGAGAGACAGAGAGCAAGTTTGTGTGTAACAGTCTTGACTTCCAAGAACGTGGCCATAATGGTGTTTACAAAGCAAATATAAAACCATGAAGACAATACAGGTGATGGCTGTTACATTGGTAACTAGTTAAATTAAAATAATATATCTTCATATTTTACACTATTTCAAAAAATGAAATGTAATTCAGTTAAGTACTGATCTCTCAGAAAATCTAATTTACAATTCTGTGTATAAAAATATAATTTGTGGACCCCCATGTAGCATGTTTTAGTTTACACTTACTAAGAAGCAGGAGCGTTGCAAAGGAGGAATGAAAAGTACAGAATTTTGCTTTCTGACAGAAAGGACGAGGGATATGTAGAAAAATAGACTCTGAGCAGGTTGCTTGGCCTCACAAAATAATCTTTCCCGCCCCCCCTGTGAGTACAGTTCACATGATAATAATAAATTATCCAAGAAACAAACTATTTAAGGCTCTTGAAGGTCCGGTTCATATTATTTAAACATCTATTCATACCAAACAAATAAATAGCCAGGAGAGGAGGGAAAAAAAATAACCAAAATAAAACAATAACAAAAAAATTCAAAAATATATATATAAACTAAACACAACAAAACTTCCCAGGGTCTTTGTTTCCTTATAGTCTACTTTGGACTGTCCTACTTTATTATTATAATTAATAATTACTATTATAATTAACAGTCTCATTACGTGCTCTCGTAACGTCTTTTGTTTGACCTTGTTGCCCCCCCCCCCATCCTGCCCCCCTCCCCCCTCCCGCACCCTTCCTGGCGCCCCTGGCTTTCAGCTGGACTTGACCGCCATGCCCAGGGGATGCAGGGCCTCACTGTCCAAAAGCCAGGTGCCTATTTGGTAGAGCAGCTGCGAGTACCAGTGGATGCCCGCGGCGGCAGCGGCAGCTGCATCTGGCGCTGCGGCCGCATCTGGCGCCGGCGCGGGGAGCCGGCCACTCCCGCCGCCGCTGCATTGGTCTGTGCTCGAGGGCGCGAGCGCCGCCAGGAGCGCGTGCGCCAGGCGGAAGGGCGCGAAAGCCCAGTGCGCCCAGCTGTGCTCCTCGATGACGGCGTAGCACGAGGCTAGCACCCGGTTGATGAGGATGGTGCCCTGGGCCGTGAGCGGCGCGTATGCGCCCGTGGCCTCCTCGCGAAGCGTCACGCTGTGAACAGCGGCAGGCAACAGCCTGCGGTCCCCGTCGCGCTCCGCCACCACGTACACTCGCTGGCCGGGCCGCACGCGGCTGGCGAAGAGCGCCCGGCGCCCCGCCGCACCCTCTGGCGGCAGCCTCAATCTATCCCCGGCGCCCGACGGCGGCTCAGGCTCCCCGGCGGCCGCCGAGTCATTGTGCGGCGCGACAAAGAGCAAGTGCGCAGCTGTCAGAAGCAGGCGCTCCCGCGGCTCCCGGGTCTCGATCACGTAGAAGACCTTCTTGGCGCCGTCCTCGCGGTCCAGGAAGGTGAGGAAGTCACTGTAGAGCAGCCGGCCCTGGTCGTCGGCCGCCAGCACCCGGTCCCCAGGGCTCAGGTCCTTCACCAGCTTTGTGCCGCCGTGCTCCAGGTGCACAGTGGCGGATCCAGGGAAACAGCCGCCCGATTTGGCGGCCACCGAGTTCTCTGCAGGAGAGAGGAAGGGAAGAGAGGACAAAGTGTGAGTGGCGAGAGGGAGGCTGGGGCGGGGAGGATGAGGCGGAGGAGGAGGCGCACCAGGTACTAGGCGCGCTGGCGCGCTCAGGCCGGGGTTCGCACTGCGTCAGGCAGAGGATCCAGAGAGGGCCGGTTCAGACCTGGAACCGCCCGCTCTCCCCACCCTGTAGCCCAGCTTCCCAAAATCAGAGGTAGGCAGTTTCCTTCAAGGCTCTTAGTCTTGTCCAGGAGGTAATAAAGGTTGGGCTAACGTCGCCCTCAGGAGGCGGGTTGCATTCAGTCCCCCTTCCGGCTTCTTGGAGCTCCATCCACCCTGCTCACCAACCGCGCCCCACGGGGGGGGGGGGAGCCACTAATTCAGAAGGGTATTTGCCATCCACTTAAATTCCTCAGGAAGACTCCTTCAGTTCGCCCGGGGCGCCTGGCTCCCCCTAGGTCCTTCCCGCCCCGGCCGCAGGGTGTGGCGCCTCTGCGCTCACCGCGGGGCCACCTTGTGCGCTCGGTTAGAGGGCCAAGGGCCGCTCAATCTAAACTCCAGGCAGGGGCCTGGGTATTTGCCCGCTTGCGGGGTGGAATGGGCAGTGAGAAATAGCTGGAGTAGTTGTAGCAACTGGACAAACATGCCAGAGAAGTGGCTGGGGTGTGAAAACCCGGAGCTTGTGTAGATTTTCAAATTAAAATCCAGTAACAGGCTCAACACTGTAATTTCTGAAGTAAATGGGAGGCACTCTTGGAAGAGAGGACACTTCTTCTATCTCTTCCCCTCCCCTTTCTCTTCTCACTCTCTCCAGCTCTCTCACCGCCCCCATCCCTATTTGCTCAGGTGCAAAGCCCCCTTGCCCTCCAAAAACCCCCGGCTCTCACAAGCACTATTTGCACAGCACGGCCTCTCTTCCAAGGCACTCAAGATGTGTATTTGAATTTTAAATGGCGGAGCCTGCTCTGAGCGCTGGAAGCAGCCGGGTTCTCAAGGCCTCCTTGACTACCCCGCTTTCTCGATCCCTCTGTCGCTCTCTGTGACTCACTGTCCCAAAGACAATAATTGAGGCTTGGGGCGGAGCGGAGGGGGCCAGGAGGTGGGGTGAGTTGGGGAAAGTCGAAGTCTTCTTTGCATTCCAATCTCCGGGATCATACTTTTTGCAAATAGAGATCTCGAGAAAGAATCTTCCTGCCAGAATCACAGAGGATTTTTAATCTTCTCATCAGTTTCCCCGTCATGAAGCGCGAGGTTGGCCGTTAGAACCCTGCTTTAGGCGCCCCCTCCCCGGAATGCGACCCGGGGCGCCAGCGAGTCCGCGTCGTCGAGTCACACGACCCTGCTTGACACACGCTACATCGTGCCCCCGAGCCCCGTGTGCGCGGAATTCTAATGAGAGGCTCTTCGGGCCCTCGGAATTCTTTTCTTCCTAGGAGAGAGAGCCTCAGAGCGGGATTACCGCTGCTCATTTGGTAGGAGGCCACTGGACACCCCCGCCAGGGGGACCCCGAGGACTGGGGTGGCCGGAGGAGGTCGTGCACAGCACGGCGGAGAGGAGGCACCTGCCTAGAGACGCGACCACCAGCCTCCACAGGACCAGAGGAAGGCGCGCTTCAGGCCCCTGCCCCCTCCAATTTCCACCCCCAAAGCCCAGTGCAAAGAAACGCCCAGCTGAAGTTTCTTGCCGCAGGGGACAGGATAGTGGGCCGCCTTCCCTTCCTCCTGGCAGCCTAGACTCTTTTCCCCTCTGCTAGAAATTCACCCTTTTTCCATCACCCCTCCCACACCCTCCCTCTGTTGTTACATGAAGCCATTATTTATTTCCTTTACCTACAAAGTGTGTCTTGACACTTTAAAAGTGTTTCTTTACTAAAATATGCCATTACAGTACAGTTTAGGTGACACACAGGCAAAACTGGAGGCGGGGGAGGGACATAGGGGGAGAAACAGTTCCTCTGAAATTCACTGTTAACTGTTTTGCTAAATGCATCACCTTATGCTGAAAGGTGGAGTGATAGTTATAAATAGTCTACAGGTTGGGATATTTGTGTATGGGTGATGCCCTTTCTCTCCTAGCTATTCCTTGCCAGCGACAGCATGTGGCGTCGCAAGCCCAGGGAAATCAACATGACAGAAGCAACTGGAGCTGGGGTCTCCAGCTGCAGACTGGAAGCTAACTGAACTTGGCTTTCCTGGCTCTTGCCCACAGCGCAGGGCATCCCAGCTGGGCTCTTAATAGCAACGGTTGCTTCTGTGCTTGCATCCCTCCAGATGTTGGAAGTGGTAACTTCAGGGTTTATTACCTCCCACCAGGGCTTTCCCAAAAGGCTTAGCAAGTGAGTTAAGTTAGTTTAGAATCTACAGGTGCCCAGCAGGGAGGAGAGAGGATGCTGGACTTATGCACTATACAAAAACTTGAATGCTTGGTGGGTATTCTTAAACCCTAAAAGAGAGTAAGGATCTAGGCCAGACCTTGGGAAACAGGCAAGGCTGCAGAGTTGTGTTCTCTCCCAGGAAAGTCACAGTCTCCCTTTCCTCCCCCTCCAAGTCACTCTTTCTTCCTGGTCTCTATCACCTATACTGGGGGCTCTGGAAACAGGGGTGAAGTGGCATTAAGAAAGCCATATCCCCTCTGCATCTGGATTTTCAGAATCTAGGTCTCTGGAATCCCCAAAGATAGGGGCAAAACTTGGCTTGTTTTTTTTTTTGGGGGGGTGCCTCAAAGAGTATGATCCCACAAGAGAAACACTCTAGGCATCACCCCAAGTCCCCTTCCTCCCTGTCTCTCATGCCCCCCCCCAAACACACACCACTATTTTTCTTTTTCCCTGGGATCTTAGGCGTCAGAAGGCCCACAGCTGACAGATGGTCTTGTGGGGTGGATCTGCAGATGCTGGGGGCTGGGTGGTATGTGTGTCATCAGTATAGGAGGTAGAGTGATGTGCCAAAAGGCTACGTCTGATGCTGCCCTACCTGCTTTCACAGAGCAGTGGATGTGCGCTTTGGACTCATAGTAGACCCAGTCGAAGCCTGCCTCCACGGCTAGGCGGGCCAGCATGCCATACTTGCTGCGGTCACGGTCTGATGTGGTGATGTCCACCGCACGGCCCTCATAGTGCAGCGACTCTTCTGAGTGGTGACCATCCTCATCCCAGCCCTCGGTCACCCGCAGCTTCACTCCAGGCCACTGATTCATGACTGAGATGGCTAAGGCATTCAACTTGTCCTTACACCTCTGTGGGGAGACATGCATGGGTACGTTAGCATCTGCCGCCTGATCCCCTAACCTAGGTCCTGTCTGCTGAGCAACCCCTGGCCCTGCTCATAGCAAAACTGCCCAGGGGGCTAGGCCATGTGAGGGGTGTACAGAGAAGGGGGAGACAGGTCCTGGGAATGGGACCCAGCCTGCACAGAATGAAGGCACCAGGGAGGAGGAGGTGGGGCGGAAGCTGCCAGGAGGAGCAGTTCCTTTTGTGAATGAGCTGAGGGCCTTCCTCCAAATTCTGAGACAATGAATACTTATCTTCTGGCCTGAGAAGAAGATAAAGTTTCTTTGGAAAAAAGAAAACTGACTGTTTTGACAATGACCCCAAAAGCCCACCAGGTGCCCTCAGGAAATGCAGCTAATCCCGAAGTGCCCTCCATGTTGCCAGTTCCCTTTCTATGGGCACATTTCTCATTTCTCCATACCCGTGCAAGCTCCACCTTGCTCCTGGGCTAAATCCCTCACTGGGACATTCACTCAGAAATTCACAAGAAGGCCAGAGAGAGGCCCAGGGTGCAACTTTGCAAGAATAAAGAAAAATACGCTGTACATTTCCTAAAGAAGGAAAAGCTAGGTGTTATCTCCTGATTCTCCCCTCTCCCCTCATAACTATCTGAGGTGAAAATTTAGCCAAAGGTAAAAGAGGGAGGTGGGAAGCTGATAGCAAAGCTTGAGGGGTACAAGATCACCAGAGGAAAAAGCAACCAAGTAAGCTATAATTTTCCATATGGGCCACTCTGGGATGACAAACATTCTTTATCTGGACAACCACATTCTTTTTCTCTGTAGAACTCTTTTCTGCCTGGGTTTTCTGTGGCCTAATTGTGTTTCTTGTTTTCTTTAACCTGTTCCCTTCCTCCTTTCTTGTTTTCTTGGCCCCAGTGCAGAATGGTGTCCTGCAAGTTTGAAGAGCAAACTTAAGAGGTGAAGGGAGGGGGGTGGGTGTGTGAGTATGTGGATCTAACCAGGACTTTGTAAGGGAGAAGGGTGTGGGATGGGAAGCAGGAGAAGAAACTGTCCCCACCAGGAAGACCTCACCAGCCCTTTGTCTTGGGGAGTCTTCCTTGAAACAGCTGGTCCCTCCTGCCCCCACCCCCAGCCTCCACACAGAAAAGCAAGTGTCATGCAAGAGTAAGGAAATATTGACATGGCTTGATAAACACTAACGTAAAATGGTACCTGGAGTTGTGGTATTTTCCTCCATAATCCTCTGGCTTATGGATCAGAATCAAATAAGGACATGTTGGATTTTTTTTTTTTGAGTGTGAGTGTGTGTGTGTAGTTCTAAACTAATAGTACTGAACTAATAGTGTGTAGTACTAATTCTAAAAAGGAGGATTTAAAACAGTGATGGAGGTACCTCTAGGTGAGATAGACAGAAGTGGAGGCTGGAGAGAGACATTCAAGTTGACTTCTGCAAAGGGTAGAACAGACCTCCCTAATCTCTAGAACAGGGAGGATGTGCCTCTGTAAAACACCTCTTCCAACATGGTTTCCCTGATAGAAAAAATAGCCTCCATTAAGGACCCTAATAATAGCAGCATGTGGGAACTCCTTTGCTAAAGGGAGGGGAGAAAACTTGTTAAAAGGACTGCTGCCTACTTTTAAAGGGGACGTGGCAGACTGTTCAACTGGAAAAGTTCTGTGTATTTGGCGACAAAATAATAACAAAAGTAATATGATTGTACAGTTAAACATATAACAAATGGACAGTGTGGTAGAGGGTTGGGAGGGCAGCCCTGGTAACAGGTCAACGCCTGCGGTTTTTAAGGCTAATAGTTTTTTTTTTTTAAGTCAAAAGGAGAATCTGAGTGAGGTCATCTTGAGGATTGAACGCATTTTACATGAAAATCAATCAGTAAACCAGGGTCAGTTTAGAGCTGGGATTTGAAGCCGTGAGTGCGCGCAGGCGCACACTCATCGACACGCACACAAACACCTCCCATCCCAAGCCTCCCCTCTGCTACCTTCCTTGCGGGGAGATGACGCTTTAAACGGTAGCTGGGCAGGGGGATGGCGAGGCCAAGAGGCCTCAATGTCACTCCCCGGGTCCCTGAGATATGCCACTTGGAAAACACGTAGAGTAACTCAAGAGAGGAGCCCAAGGCCGAGCCAGGCTCTGTGAGTGGAGGTGGCGGCGCTGTGGACGCGCCGAGGCCTAGGGGCCGGCCTAAGTGTGTCCCTGGCGACCAGTCTCCCTCCTGGGCCGCCGACATCCCGGCAGAATTCCGGCCGGCCTCAGGGCCGGGAGCGGCCTGGGCCAGGGGCAGGAAGCTCCTGGCTCCAGCCCACAGGCTGGTCGCAGGCAAAGGCTGTGCCGCCGGGACCAGTTGTTCATTCACTGGGTCATGTGCCGCGAATCAGCCCGATTCTGTGCAGTCACCGTGAAGCCCAGCGGGGCAGCCTCGGCGCGGGCTTTGTGTCCGCGGAAGCAAAGTTGTTCCACACGCCTCAGCTCCCCGCCACACTCCTAATCTCCGCACAAACGAGCGCATCGAGGAGGCGCTCGGCAGTACCTGTCGTTGCAAAGTGCCAGGAGTGCTTGCCCCAGTGCCGGAGCGTAGGAGGGACCCCGACTTCATAAAGACCCCTACCTCGGCAACATTGCCTCTCTGTACCACTCCAACACACAGAGAAACTCTTCCTGAAAGCAGAAAACGCTCCCCAAACTCACACACTGGCAGCCTTGCTTGCTAGGCGGCTGCAGAGCAGGGAGGGAACTTATGTAGCGTGTCCTTTCAGGCTAAGCCCCCCACTTCAGCCACCAGACCCGCCCCTGGCCGGCCTCCGACCCCTGGTAGCGCCCCCTCGCCACCCGCGCCCTGTGAGCTGGCACCCGAGCGAGGCCTGCGCCGGGAGAGTGGTCTGTCTGCGTTCCCCTCTCCCGAGTTAATATTAACCAGGAGCTCATGCGTTCAAGAACTACTCTGAAAGTTCCACTGGGGAAGATCTTGCCATGGTTGAGGGACTTGGGCAGCAGTCACTTAGATTCGGAGACACACCCAGAGGCACGGAGAGACTCTAGATAGAGGAGAGACTTAAGAAGCACACCTGAGAGCCGAGTCCAGGCGTTAATTTAAAAACGATGAGCCCAGCGGGCGAGCAAGTTCCCGGAGGAGCCCCAGACCTTCGCGCAGCCTAAGCGGCACTTCCCTGCCTCTGAAGCCCACAAGTTCCTTTCCCTCACTGGACCCAGGTCATCGGCCTCTCTCTCCCCATTCCTGTCCCCACCCCCCCACCCCCCTTTAACTCCCAGAATCTGCACAAGAGGGAAGTGCCAGGGGAGGGACAAACCAGAGGGCACATTCCAAATGCCACCTCTCCAGCCATCCACGTTTTTAGGGTATCTTGGAGGGGTGTGTGTGTCAGTGTTGTAATCTCGGCCTGGCTCTCCCCACCCCGCCTCCACCTTGGCTGCCCCTCCCCCCTTCTTTTGTGTTGGGAACGGGAATGGCCACTGCTGAAGGAAAAAAAGTATTTGTTTTCCTTTCGTTCGTCTGAGGGAAGTTGACAGAAGGTCAGAAGTTCAAATGCTGCTAGCGAATGCGGCGGCGCGAGTGGCGAGGCGTGGGGCGGGCGCGGCCCTGGGTTCCCCGGCAGGGCGAGCGAGGGGTGCGGAGAGGGGGGAGCTGAATGGGGGGGCTCGTCGCGGTGCGCCAGGGCCCCCAAGACCCCAGAGGCCCGGACAGCGGCAGCGGGCGGAGCAGCGCAGCGCAGAGTAGCGTGCGCCCGGCCCTGCCGCGCAGTCACCACACCCCGCCTCTTCCCCGCACGCGCCCCTCCCCCGCCGCCGGGTTAATGAGGGTGATTAGCGCCCCATTGGAATGAGCCCCACGCTAGTGGTTTTGGAGCTAATTCCTGCGTGTGCGCGTGCAGGTCAGGGACTGCGCGGCGCGGCGCGTCGGCGGCGCAAGCCCAGCTCGGCCGCACAAACTGAAACCCTAGCCGCTGAGATCGATAACCTAGGAGTAAGTGGAGCTGAAAATGCGTCTGACTTGGGGCTCGGCTCCACCGGCCTACAGCTTTCCAGAAAGGCGCCGAGGACCCAGAGCTCGGAGCAAGGGGCGCAGGGTTCAATGGGGGCCCCTGGCACCCACAAGGGTATACACTGACCCGCCCCAAGTTGGGACCCTTGCTGTCCCTACCTCCGCCGCTTCCCTCGCCTCTCCTCCCAACCCCAGAGTGTGGAGACCCCGGGAAGGCTCCCTGCGGGAAGCGAAGGGGACAAGGGGGCGGCGCGGTGGGCTAGCCCAAGAACTTCCTCCTGGCGGCCGCACACCCCCTGCACCAGGGGGCCACTCAGTTAATAGTGGCTTTTATGTGGCACAGGAGCGCGCGGCCACACTCTTGGGCCAGATTTAAGGTAGTCGGGAGCGGAGGAGGGAGACTGAGGGTTGAGAATCCTCTCCTCTGCTCTTAGTCCTCCCCCACTGGCCAGCTGGAGCTGGCTTCTCCGGCTGCCCCTGCCCTTTCTCGGCTCCCTTAGCGAGCCCTGGAATCGTGTTGGACACAGAACAGCTTGGAGGTAGCTCCTCTCTGCCTGCCCCCCCGCGCCCCCCGCCGCACTTGCGCCCCACCAGCGCTGCTCCGTCAGCCTGTGCGCTTCTAGCCCTAAAGGTAGGACTTGAATATTTTAATAGGGCAATAAAAATGATGTTGACCTATATTTGCAAGGAAACCCATTTCTAGCTTCAGTTATATACGCATAGACTTTCAGAAAGTCTAGAATTTGCAGGTAGATTTTTAGCCCAGATGTCTGGAAGGAGGTGGGCAGGGAGAAGAGGATTAATGTTTTGCTTTGGCTTTCTTTTTCACCCCTCTTCCCACTAATATTTATTCCCTCGTAATTTCTATGCAAGCTGTTTGAAAACTGGAGTGATGCAATGCCAATAAGTTCTAAGTCCCTCCCCTAAGGTACCTCAAGCTTGGGAGAATGAAAGAGCATCCTTAAAGAAATATCGATATATTCACACTCCGATGGGCATAATTGCCCTCGATGGAATAGCAATTCAAGCTGTATGATACAGTCATGGACAGCCAGAGCCACCTTTTGTCAGAACTGCCTACTTGGCTTCCCCAATGGAAGACTCTTTGGTGGGGGGCTGTGGGGTGGAAGTCATAGAAGAAAAACCACAGAGGAGAGGCGAAAGGTCTGAGCTCAGAGATCTAATGCTTCAAGCCTACATTTGTAGCAGTGACCCGGAGCCCACTTTATGTTTATGAAAGGATTCCCGCCCCCTCCTTGCCTCTCCACTCTCAACTCTCCAGTAAAGCCTCAGACTTGGATAAGGCAGACACCCCAAAAGTGAAGGTATCTCCAAGTTACAAAGCAGAGCTAGGATGGAGAAAGCCATTCTGGTAAGACAGAGGAGAATCAGGGCCATAAATGCGATCCTATCCCCAACCATCCCCACTCTTGCCCATACCCTAAACTTCTGGACCCATAGCCTCCATTCCTCCAGGAAGAGGAAGGAATGGTTGGTGGGTCGGAGGATGGGGAAGGAGAGAGTGAAATTGCCTTTAAATCTGCTTAAAAAGCAAAGAGACCAAGTCTAGAACGGTTTCATTCCACGTAGCCCCCTTTAAAGAAATACAATCCACGCCCCAGCTCTGGGTTTCTACCTGAGTCATCAGCCGGTCCGCTCCGGTGTTTTCTTCATCCTTAAATATGATGTCAGGGTTGTAATTGGGGGTGAGTTCCTTAAATCGCTCCGAGTTTCTCGAGATCTTCCCTTCATACCTTCCACTGGCCCCTAGGGTCTTCTCGGCCACATTGGGGATAAACTGTTTGTAGGCTAAAGGGGTCAGTTTTTTGGGGTGTCTCCTTTTCCCAAATCCTCTGCCGGGTCCGCACGCCAGCCCTGAGCACATCAGGAGCGAGGAGACAAGGACCACCACTAGACATCTCGCCAGCAGCAGCATCTCGTCCATGGAGCCCAATTACTTACAAGCTCTCCCGTGTGTGTGTCTGTGTGTGTGCGCGTGTGTGCGCGCGCGTGTGCGTGTTCGCTCTCTCTTGCGCTCTCCCTTTCTCGCGCCGGCTCGCTTGCTCCCTTGCTCTCTCCCTCGCTCTCTTTCTCTTCCTATATAACCTTGCCCGCCGCCGCTGCGTGGGACTCTCCACCGATCCCCAGCCAGACAGGTGCTGGAATGGCAGGCTGCCGGTCGCTGATAACGGAACACATCGGAGTTGGGTCTGGAGACAGCAATCAAAAGACAAAAAGAGTCTGATTTTAAATGGTAGCAAGCCTAGAGACGCTTGTGAGAGAGGCTGCCTTTAGTACTATATTATAGCTGGCAGGGGCGTATCTGATTGGCCAAGGCAACACAAGCTTGTCTTCTGATGTTTAACCCTCAAAAAGGCTACATTTTTTTTTTCTGTTGCTGCTGCTGCTTTATTTTTACCTGAGGCTTCGAGTAAAAAAACAAAAAAATCTTTACTAAAACAAAGGTGGGAGGGAGGACAGAGGCATATTTCTTGGGTTAACATAAATTATATCCTGGGGTATGAGTATCTATGTGTTTCCCCCTTTACTTTCGTGGGAATGGTAGGTGCTTCAGTAAAAACCAACTTAAGTTTTTAAAGGATAGTGTAGATGCCCCCACAGCTTTGATCATCAAACAAATATCCTCTCTAATGTCTGAGGGGCAGAGCTTGGCAGCTCTTATTTAAAATGGTTAGAGATTTTAGCATGCAGGCCAGTTCTTCCTGCCTGTTAAAGAGGCATCTGAATCCCCTCTGTCTGAATGTTCAGCATCCTTGGAAGTAGGATAATTATGAGTGACCACAACTTAAAGTAGTGTGAATTGAAGTGCTTCAAATGCCTTAGAAAAACTTTAAAATACTGCCACTTTATTGTGTTTGTATCAATGCATTGTTTTTGAAATCTCTGAAGATGGGCTGGAGGTATACGGTCAGCTGCAGGTACAGAGTAAACTGATGGTCTGCCAAGGTTCAGGGGCAAAGTAGGTCTTGGGTGCTGGATACCTTCAGCTCTGGGAAGGGAGCTTGTGCTTGTGTGTGCTGTGGGCGGAGGCTCATTGTGCCTAGAGGGCAGCATGAGTGGGCAAGGCTTTGCAAACACCACCCCCACAGATCGATAGGAGCAAAGTGCAGGGCCAAGGGATGAGTGTAATGTTAAATTAAGGCTCCTTGCCATGGCGTCCAATGCTGGCTTTACATAGAGCTGGCCATATCATGGACAATGCAGCCCAAAGGGATGCAGGGAGTCTGGAGGAACTCCTGTTGTGTCTTAGTGTCCAGACCCAAGCAATATGAGTCCCTGATCTTTACCCTTCTTCCAGAAAAAACAAACACACACACACGCACACACACACACACCTTTCTAATTAAATCAGAAAAATAAAATCTGACATTCTCCCTTTTTACAGAATATACCCCTTTTCCACCTTTCCCCCATTCCACTCATATACATTAATTCCTCCAGAATGTGGCAAGGGAGGACGGGTTATTCATGTGGAATAGAAATACTGACCCTGAGAAATAATCAGATACTGCGGAATGTTGGCCTCTGAAGTTCAGTATTCTGCCTTGACCTCGAACCATCACAGTGGAGTAAGGAGAACAAATCTGAAGGTCCAACCAGCAAAACAATGGGAAGTTGCCCGCACTTCATCAATTTTCCTATGCTGAAAAACTCTTTTGGATGTCTCTTATCTTAAGAGACATCTAGTTTCAGTCTAGAGACACCAGCATTATTCACTCCACTCTCCCATCCATACACCTCTCTGAAGGTTGACAAATTCCTCCACCCAATTTCTCTCTTTTCTATTTTGTGATTTTTGAAGAATCAGAAACTGAGCCCTAAGGAAGAGTGCTGACCTCTGGGTGAGGTGGCAAGGCAGCACCCAGTTTTATCAAGGAAGACTCAGTAAGGTACGAAGAGTTCTCCAATTAGCTGGAGACAGTACAACTTTGTTGATAAACCTTAGGCTTAGTTTATTGTCCAGGGTGTGTGTGTGTGTGTTGTGTGCTCCCAGGAAAAAAAACTGATTAAAAAAAAAAAAAAGATATAACGTTCTATACCAAAGAGGGTCGGCTTGTTTGATGTGGTTACCTCGGGTAGCACGTGTTGATGTAATATCACTAAATAGTGCTGGAGCTTAAGAAGCGATCCGGACCATGTGGGATACTTGCAAACCTTTTGATCACCCTCCCCCGCCTTGGCATCTTCTGCCTCAGTGACTTTCCTTTCCTTTTTTTTTTTTTTATCATTCTTCGCGCCCTTCCCTAAACACCTAGGTGCCTGCACAGGGCGGGAGTGTCGAGGCGATGACCCTGCAGGTGAAGGCCGGAGACTCTGGGGCTGTGGGCCGCGCGTGCACCCAGCGGCCAGCAGGGCTTCTGCGGCGCAGACAGGCTGGGGAGGCGCGCGTCCAGTGTAGGCAATAAACGCACGTGGAAAAATCTTACACTCTCAACACGCAGGGTGTGGGACTTGGGTTTGGAAAGCGAAGAAAGCCTGAGCTGCTGAGAGTCCGGGCTGCGGGGCCGCAGTGGGCACAGTGTGACCTGGGGGCCTGGCCGGGCTCTCCTGGATCAGGAAAGAGCCGAGCCTGACTCCGGAGCGCGGTCCTTCCCTCTTCTTTGAGACCAGGAAGGGGAAGCGGCCCGGCACTGCGCTCGGGTTCCCGTGGAGGCTCCCCAGGAGGACTGACGCCGAGGGCCCCTCCCTCCTCGCCATCTCCAGCCAGCCCTGGAAACCCCAGAAAGCCTGTCAGCAGCCGCCTTCCCAGGGGCTTGGCCGGATCCTTCCGATTCAAAGACTGATGGACAAATCACCGCAAAATCCGCCAATGACGCCTTCTTCCGGAGGGTTTACCCTAGTCTTGGGTTGAGAGGGGAAATAGGGACAAAAAATCAACTACAGTTTGTATGTATTGCCTTGGGAACTCAGGACTCAACATTATAGGGTGCCCAGCCAAGATCCGGGAGAAGTGGCGTTCTCCGCGCCTCCCTCCCCCTTCCACTTCCCCTTTTCCTTTCATCTCACCCACTTCCCATTTCCCAGACACCAGACACTCACTCTGTCTTCCACCTCCAGACACCAGATGGCTCCCTCTCTTTGCCTTTCCCCCTCCAGACAATTCCGCCCCTCCCTCTGCCGTCAGTGGTTCCAAACCCCAGCCGTTTACCTCTGCCTGGTGCGGCCAGAAATCCCGGGTCGCCCGCAGGCTACATCTCTGATTTGTTTGAACTCTTCCCTTTCTAGTGGTCATTCACATCTCTCCAGCCAACTCTCCGTCCCTCTACCGTCTATCTACTCACGCGTCAGGCCATCCTCGTGAGTACAGGTGGCTGCCTCTGTCTTCTGCCCCCAGTCCCCCAGGAGGCGCCCTTCCTCAGGACCGCACCTTTTCCTCCCTTCAGACCCAGCCGCTAGATGGCCTCCTCACTCTGCCTTCAGTTTTTGGAGTACCGGGTTCAGGCTTGGGTGTACATGGGAAATTAGTGCAGAACCAAGCTGGGCGGCCTCAGAAGCTGGACTAGTCCATTTCTTCATCCTCCCTTAATGCTTGTCCCAGGTTCAGTGCAACCCCCCTCTACTCTTTTGTATCCACTAAGCCCCTGTCCTTAACTAAGACCCTGTCTGTCACATTTTTCCCAGTTCTCCATCAACTTCAGTCTCTGGGCTCCGCCTGTCATCTTACATTTCCCAATCACCATCTCCCCCACCCCCCCAACCCCTTCTGGTTTATTTGCCTTATGATGATTATACTCAGTCTCTTTCCAGTCAGCCACTCAGTTCCAATTTCTTTGTAGTTTTGTGAAACTGAATTTGTTTTTGTATTTCCTTGTAAATACTAGGTTGGGACCCCTTCTGCATTTTGGAGGCATGCTCTTTCCTTAATCCCATAGCACATCCCTAATTCAATCTGTTGGGAGAGAGAGAGAGAAGGGGGAGCACACTGTCTGAGTTTAGGGTTTGAGTCACCAGGTCCTGGACAGCACCAGGGTTTCCTCTGAGGCCCAGGAGGACTAGGGATGGCAACCACTATTCATTGACTGTAGCCTAGAAGCAGCCAAAGGCCTAGAGCAGCTGCTGGGTGTCCTCCACCCACTCGTCTGCCACCATTGCATCCTCAGCAGCGGGTGCTCATGTCCCCACTCTCACTGCAACTGAGATCAGGTCTGTGGCAGTGGTGGCAGGAGCAGCTGGGGAAGCAGCAGCCAAGACAGACAAGACAGCTTGTCTGCTGAATGGATGAGGAGTTGGGCTCGGTGGTGTTCCATGTGTGAGGCTTGATGCTGGCTGTGGACCATTACTCAGCAGTATAGTGCAGAGGGGAGAGAGAGCAAAGCCCTGCTCCACCATGACCTGGGGTAAGACCTTCCTCTTCCTGGGCCTTCCTGAGGTGCTTTCTCTGAAGGAAGGAGGTAGTGTAGATGATATCCTGAGATCTCCATGATTGCAATTTTTACTCTTGCCAATTTTGTTTACCAAATACTTGTTGAGTGCCCATTATGCACTAGGGGCTGGGGACAGTGAGGGGAATATGTGCAATTTCAGACGTGCATGACTTTCAGTCTGATTTTCTTCCACATCGCATGAAAACTTCTGGGCAGGCAGTAGTAACAATGTCTTCTGAAGAACTGTCACACTCAGGGTCTGATTTTCTCCACATATGGTAGACAAATAGAGCAGGTATTGTTGTTGTTGGGTGCCACTGAGTTGATTTAGACTCATAGTGACCCATGTGACAGAGTAGGACTGCCCTATAGAGTTTTCTTGACTGTTATTTTATGGAAACAGGTCACCAAGTCTTCCTCCCACAGAGCTGCTGCATGGGTTTGAACTGCCATCCTCTAGGTTAGCAGCTCGGTGCTTAACCGTTTGTGCCACCAGTGATCCTCAGAGAGGGTGTTAATATCTGTATTTTACAGATGAGGAAATTGAAATGCAGTTTTTGGTGATATTTGAAAGCTAATGAGAAAAAAAAAGCTGTATTTTGTAAAAGTAGACATGCTAAGGCAAGAAATATGTTGCTTTATGAATTTCTGCTGATTTTCTCTCTTCAAACCATTGCTCTACTTTGCTGAATCACATAG